AATACCTTTCTTCCTGGAAAGGATCGGGCTATGATGGGTTAGCTTGAATATGAGCTGTTTTGATGATCCAAAGCTGGAATAGTACAGACTCGACTCGACTCGACTCTTAAGTGTTTTGGAGCCGATCCCTATAGGCCCAGAAGGCATGTTACAAAAGTGTATAGTAAGAGATGACAGCTCTGCTAACTTTCACATGAAGGCTTTTCATCTGGGTCTTTCACATGCCGAGCCTTACTGGAATGACTCCATGTTAGTAAGGGCCCAAACATATTAAGAATGAGGACATTCGTTTTTGATTTGCCAAGTATTTGACTTGTCAATGCATTTTATATAGTATTATTAGATAATTATAGCTAATCTCCAGTAATTAAAGAGGCTGAACGGTAGGGTAGTCTCTTGGAGTGCTCGTGTGTTTAACCATCAGAGTGCCATTATAGTAGAACCACGGGGCAGAATTTATTGATAAAATTCTTTAGCATGAATGATCAGATTTTTGTGGCATTGTGGACAAATTTATTTGAATTTCAAATCCCAATATTTGGGGAAAATTGAAATTTTGCGAGCAGATTAATTTAATTCACAACAAAAATGTTTTGAATGTGTTACTTGATTGTGCTGACACATGGGTGTGAGTCAATGCGCCCTTCGTCTGCCTTTTTTATAGTTTTTTTTTTTGTGGTTCATCAAGACACCTACAACAATAGAAGTGAGAACTTATGATTGAAGTAATTCCCATTTTCTAAACATCATTCAACCACGGAGCCACTTATCTGTTGATGCAAACAAATAGAATGATTTAGAAGGTGGGGTTATTCAGATACGGTTATCACTAGATATAACCGATTTGTGTTGACAACTGTAAATAGCAGAACCCTCTAACAACCCTCATGCGGTTCTGACCTGCGTCATCTATTATTTCATGTTTCTACACTATATGGGCTTAGTTCCAACTAAATCTTGGTTTTATGCATAAATGCCAAATATGTACAAATTCTGAAGGTACTTGTTTTATTTTCAGCTCGCACAAATTGACAAGAATAGTTCTTAGCTTCCTTGTCGAATACTTATTTTAAATTGTTGTTTTTCCTGTATAACAGCACAATTTCCAAAGAAATCAGACTGTTGGAACTGCGTATCATCTCATTGTGTGTTTTCTGTGTTCCCATAGCACTTAAAGGTGTATTTTCCTTAATGTTTAACTGCATTATATTATTCCCAACGTGGACTTGAGATGAACTGATTCACAGGTGCCAAGCGGGGTGATGTGATGCTGCAGCTGTTCATTTTTAAGATAATGTCAAATGAAAGCCAAAAGGGGGAAAATCCGAGGCAGTGTGTGAGCAAAGATTACTGGCATTGGGATTTGGTTGAATTAAAATCATTGTTTGGTTTTGTTGTGGGACATTTTGTAGGAACCTTATTTGGAAATTGTCCTCGGGGCAGGTGAAGTTGCGCAGGGAGCAGGCTTTAACCCGTTCGAGGCAGGGGTGTGTCAGGCAGGTGCTTCAGCATTTTTATGAAAAATGCCTGGGGATCTTTAATGTGCATTGTAGGGACAGGAACTCTAATTCAGCTACTCATACATAGCATAGTCCCTTGTACAGAAAAAGAGCCTTGTTGTGGAAAGCTGTGGTCAAGAGAGAAGGACCTGTAAGTACTGATACGCCAACTCCACTTCCAACCACAGGTGGGCTTAACTGGCTCCCCGAGGCCTAGCTGTGCTGTGATTGTATAGTGTCTGGAGGGAGCACTTTCAGGTGAATGGAAAACCGAAAAAGAAATTCTCAAGTGGTCTGCGACGGACCCGATGGACTTTCCCTACACACCTCCTTTCCGCCGGATAGTTCGTGTTCTGGCCAGGCTGGGCTGGGCCGAGCATCAGGATAGACCTCCTGTACCTGCAAGGGAGTGCAGCTTCTGGTTGGTTCGGTTTATCATAAGGAAACACATAGGGAGTTGGGGGAGGTGGGGGGGGGGCAGAAGGAGTTTGTAAGGAGGTGTTTACATGAAAAATACGATTGAGATCTGAATGTTTTGTGAATAAAGCGTAATATAAATAGTCTAGTATCCGCTGAAATTCCTGGAAATGGCAGTGTTTTCCCCATACTATTCTGTTGCAAGGCAATTTTTACAATATTGCTCCCGGTTGTACATGTGGATACTTGAACACAAGTTCTCACTAGCATCTTGTGAATGTGCTGTTCTCTTGAAAGTTTTTGTTTGTATGGCA